TTGCACCCCTTCTCCAGACAGGACCGTCTGACCGCCTTTGTTTACAATACAACCGGAGCACATGCCGCTGAGGTGAGGGGCGGGACGTTTAGACGCGCACTAGAGGTGGTTTAGCCAATCACAACACACTGGGCTAGCTAACCAATCAGAGCCCATCGCCTATTTCTGAGGGCGGGGCTTCATAAAAACAGGAAAAGATCAGCCCGTTTCTCAGAGAAGGGACAGAGTGGTGTGGAATAAAGGTAAATTATGTGAAAAATAATGAGTTTTTAAAAAAACGAAGCATTAACACATGTTAGACTGCACCCCATAAACACAATCAAGCCTAGAAAAAAAGCCAGTGAACCACCCCTTTAAATTATGAATATTTTATTAAACTCAGTATCTAAAACATGGGCTATGTATGACCTGATATTTTAATATGCTTTTTAGCAGCAGTTTTTGTGTTTTCATTATTATTAATTTATTTACTATGGTAAATCTAAATCTATGATTCTCTAGATTCACTATTATTATAATCAAAGTATATATACATTTTTAGTTTACTTGAATGACCTCAAATTTTTGGATCGCCTCCATTTTATTTTATTTTACTTTATTTAAATATAGTGCATTCAGTTTTAATGCATTCATTGCTTTTCTGATGGAAAGAAAACAAATGAAGCAGTTTTAATGTACAATTAGGTAAATGCATTAACTGCATTAAATAAACTATTAATATTTATTGCCAGATATTTTAATATGCATTTTAGCAGTAATGTTTAATGTTTTCATCATCCATTCATTTGCTATGATAAACCTAGGTCTATGGTTAAAATAATCTGGATGGATTTAGATAATAACTTTTAATCCAATAAATAATGATCATAATGTATGATTATACATAAAGTGTTTACAGGGCTTTCAATAAATTAAATGAATCTTGAGTTATAAATTGTCTTACATTTTTACATTATTTTATTTCAAAATTTAGTTTGAATGCATTCAGTACAGTTTAAAGAAAGAAAACAAGTGAAACTAACTGAAAGCTACATAATGCCATTAGATAATGTTTTTACGGCATTAAATTAAGAATAATTAATCCCAACTGTTAACATGTTGGCTATGGTAACCCTGATATTTTAATGTGTAACTGTCCATATGTTTTCTAATCATTCATTCATTCATTCATTCATTCATTCATTCATTCCAAATGTGCACATACTCTCATTCAGTCCCCTCAGACTTCAAATGCAATAATGTAACACAAACTCTTCCCTGCTCTGGTGGCCATTAGCACACTGACACTCAGTATCACCAACACTGTCTTTTTTCGGTGTCTTCTAAAATCTCACTGGAACCGAAGTGCAGTATGTGGCGTGTGATTTCGCTAACTGTGCCGAGTGACATTGTGCCTCACCGCACCCCTCTTCCTCGCTAACCTGTGCTACCTTCCTGGCTGGCCGGCATAATGCCCCACTAAACATTAGCAACAGGACCGAATGACGTCCAGTCAGATCTCTCTTCACCTCTCAGTGTTCATTCGTTGTCATCTCAGCTTGTTGTGTGTAAACCGAGCGAATGCTGTCTCAGAGAGCCTTTAAAACTTTTTTTTTTCTCGGTCTCCCAAAGCTTCTCCTTTGCTCTGTCTGTTGTAAACCCTTTTGTTTCTGTTCATTGCCAAAGCTCCACTCTAGGCTGGAGGGGCTCAAAGATGATCGCAGGAACCATAGGATCTTCGACTCGCGAGTAACTATTCCCAACCCACGCAAAAAAATAAATAAAAAAAAGGAGCTGCTTCCATCCGCAAACTCTGCTTTGCGTCAGGAGTCCAAACTCCTTGCTTTACACTCTTTTCCTCTCTCCTCGTCTGTTTCTTTCCTTGTCTCTCATTATCTTGTCTGTAGACGTCGCTCTTTCTAATGCTCTCTTTGTTTTATTAGCCGTTTGGTGTGTTGGAGTCTCTTGTGGACATTGAGTTCTGTTTCTTAGATCTTTTTTTCTCCTGTTTTTCTGTTCCTTTTTAAGTTTGATCTCCATTTAGATGCAGTGTTTTATTGCTGTATGTGAGCTGCACCTCATCGTTTTCTTCCTCTTCCTGTCTTTTTCTAACTCTCTCTCTTTCTTTGCTCTGTGTCGATCATTGATTTGTCGTGTTGGTGCTAGTCTGTTGTAACTGGATCGTGAGTAGAAAGGAATTGGGACTTGCTTGTGTGTCTCCCCCTATAGGCCAGGGGCATTGCGTCTCAGCACGAAGGACACATAAAGGGCTGTTTTTTAATGCTTTCATGCAGTAAATCAAAGACTTAATATCTATAAACCTCTGTTACTATAGCCTCAAGTCAATGTGTATTTTATGCATGGAATTTGATTGCCCTCTCATACCATTACTCTTGGCCTAAGGGAACTCCATAATTTATGATACTTTGTATTGGTAGATTCCACACTTACAGCTGAATGTATAATCACATTTGCTATTATTATTATTATCTTAAAACATTCATGGCTCATTTTGAGAGAAATTTAGCTTAAAAGAGGTCAAAATTGAACTGGATGGGGGGGTGGGGTGCTTGAATTGTGTTCCATCGTATGGAGCTTCTAGCTGTTAAAGTCAACATGAAATCAAAATGGACACTTTTTTTTAAATAGATCATTTTTATAGGGATATAAATATATATAGATGATTTTTTCACGTAATATACTTTTTTTTTAAATTGCCTCTAACATATATTGTCTGACGTCTATTTTGACATTGTTTTAGGCTACTGTTGTAGGTAAAGAAACCTTTCAAAACGATTAACAATATCAAAGAGAAAAAAAAAGAAGAATGGCCATTGGGTTAAGTCGAGATGCTTTTGAGGCTGAACTTGACCTTTGACCTCCAAGTTACAGTCATAAAGCAGACAGAAACCCCATTTTGGTATAGAAAGCCCACTTTTCATGATCTAATCAATTCTTGATGGATAAAAGCAAGTCTTACCCTACATTGTTACATTGTTAGCAAAAAACACTATAAAAGCGGTATTCTAAGTTTTTTTTCAAGCTAAACAATATCATTTTGTGAGGAAACAATCAAAATTTCCACTTCAGGTCCCTATTTTGATAAGAAATGCCTACATTTTTCTTTCCAATTGAATATTCACTCTGAAATACATCACATTGCAGCATTAAAATATTTCATGTTGACTTTAATGTTCATTATATCAGATGCTTTTCTGGAATCAGGTTGTTTTGGGCACTAGAACGCTACCATGACATAACACATAACTTTCCAAGACTCGCTACAGCATTATGTCAAGACCATGATGATAATGATAATAATGGCAGTAGGACTGAAAATGTTGTTTTCAGTTTGTTTTCAAGCAAGTTGCTTTTGGTTATTTTGTCTGAATGTGTAGATGATCATCCTGATCTTTATGAATCCTGTCAGTGGAATGCTAACTCTCCTGGACGGAGGATGGGGCTTCTTTTGTGCTCTAACTCATGTTTTTCTGTCTTTCTTTTCCCCATTCCTTTCCCTCTCTCTTCCTCATTCCCTCTCATTCTGTCTCTCTCTCTATATCTGTAGGTGCAGTCACGATGCAGCAGCAAGGAGAACATCCTGAGAGCAAGTGGGTGACCGATTGTGTATAATCGTAATGTTTGTGCATGTGTGTTTTAGAGCATGTTTAAATTCTCACTCTTTGTCTCAGGTCACAGTGCAGTGGACATCACCAAGGTAGCTCGGAGACACCGCATGTCCCCGTTTCCCCTCACTTCTATGGACAAGGCCTTCATCACTGTGCTAGAGATGACTCCTGTCCTGGGTAACGAAATCATCAACTACAGAGGTAAGACCCTTGCTTGTTCATACCAAGCCTAAACTAGACCAATGGACTTTTTACACCAAGGTAAACCACATGAACGAATATATTCACAAACTAGGGATGTCAAAGGTACTTGTAGTTGATGATAAATTAAATGTAATAATGATAGCAGGATTTATAAAGTATTTTCACATGCTTGATCTTGGCAAGTTATTTGTGAACGCGAACAGCTGGAACAAAATTAGGTTAAGTCAAATTATGGGATCTGTACATTAGCCTAATATACCTGCAGCTGTCATTAATATTGATCAAACAACAATATTAACAAGAGTCTGTTCATGGCTGAATAACTTTAGTAGCTGTAATGAGTCCTTTACAATCAAACATGAACAAAATGAGTATTAATGTATTAAATTTGAAAAAATCATACTCTGAATACTATTTAAGTTTTTTTCTCTGAAAAAAGACAGATTGCCTTAAAATTTGAACAGCAACCAGTAAAAATCAATTAGTAGTAGATAAAATAATAATAATAATAAGCATTACAGTATGGTATTTCAGAATCTGAATGGAGTTGACAGAGTTGAATCATGCATGTATTTAGTATTAGAAATGCAGACTCATTCAGACAATATTGAATGGGCCTTAAAGGTTCACCCAAAAATCAGCATTACCCTTATGTTCTTACAAATCCATATGACTTTCTCCACTGAACAATACGTTTTGACAAGTATTTTCGCTGCCCTTTTCCATTAAAAAAAATGTAAAGAGCCAAATAAGAACAAGAAGAGCCATAAAACATCATAAAAATACTCCATATGACTACTTACTGTATGTTGAAGAATATCCTGTTATAGAGACATATAAGACACATACTATCATGGAAGAAGGAACATCATATGGGTTTTTAAAGACACAAGGATAAGTGAATGATGTCAGAATTTTCCATTTTTGTGAACTATCCTTTTAACATGAAGCACTGTCCTTCCGATGGTTCACAAAAATGGGTTCTCAATGGTTGTTGGTCTGTGGTATATCTAGGCCAGTAAGTGCTGTCGGCATACAGTCACCAAGCTCTTTGCTTTGCAGGCTTTCAGCTTTTGCTTTTTTTTCCGTCTTCCATGCCTGCAGCTCCACATCTGTCACACATCTGTTCGTTGTTTCTTTCACCCCATCGTCTTTCCATCATTCTAGCTTTAATCTTCTCACTCGTTCCATCCTGCCGTCCTCTGTTGTTTTTCAACTCGCTGACTTCTCTGAAACTTTGATGCCATTGTGATCATCCAAAGACAGATCCTGTAGTCAGTTTCCACACAAATCCAACCTTAAAGGCCTTCTTTCTGAATTTCGGAAAAGCTCTGGAAGATTTTCAGTTATTCATAGTTGCTCAGTCCACATGAACATCGGGAACGGTCCAGTCCCACGGGCTAGATTACATCCCATAGTTTTTTTATTTACTTTATAGTTGGCACTCTGACACAGCCCATGCTATTCTTTTTGATGGCTCTTCTTTAGTTTTTCATGGCCATCACTAAAACAGGGAAGCCACCCTTGCATGTGGATGTGAATTGTGCCACCACGGTGCGGGCTGTGAGCTGGCCATTAATTTTGGTCCATGTGGTGGGGGATAGTGGGGTTACCCATGTGGTAGTTAAATGTGCCCAATGCGTCTGGCAGGGACCAATGCAGGTGACTTGGCCCCTCCAGCACGAAAAGGCATCTGGCGCCAGAGTGGCTCAAGTTGGCGGAAAATTCCTCTCTGCACTGGCACCGAAGCAAAGGCAGAAATGAGAGACTTGGTCATTGCCGCCCACACCCCAAAGTATTACACAGGTCAGTGTGCACCTTAACCAGCACCTTCATGTCCGGCGCACGTCTTCGAGCATGCCCGATGCTCATCTGGCCTCAGTAATGTGTGGAATAGTCATCCATGCTACAGCGCCATTTCACCTCCAGACCAGCAGGGGGCGATTGAGAGTTGTTTGCAACTGCTGACGAGTGTCAAGGACTGATCAAAATATGGCTGAATCACAATTTGCATACTTGTATGCAAAGTCAAGTACTAAAGTTGAAAACATTTTACGTTAATTTTAGTCTATCTATCTATCTATCTATCTATCTATTAATAAATAAATAAATAT